CACAGATGGTCACAGGAAAAGTGTCTTTTCCACAGGACGGACGTGTTTGTGTGCTCTTACTGGGACAGGCCATCATGCGGCAGGTTCGTACGAGCGGCGGGGACGGTAAACCCGAGCACTGCTCCCTCGCCACCGTCACCTGACGGCCCGCCGCCGTCAGCTGGAGGCACAGCAGCTCCCGGCGCTGGATCCCCAAACCGCAGGACACGGAGCACTGCAGAGGAACGTTAGACACGGCAGAAAGGTTTATGACAGATCTGCAGGACTGGGTCACACTGGCTGATTCTCCTGTCAGGTGTGGTTAAAGTCAGGGAAAAAGGAATTTATTCATTGGAATATTTGATAAGGTGGTAACATATGCTCTGTAGAGAGAATAGACTCAGATTCTATTATTTTATTCCATTGAGCTGGCAGAATAGAGCTGGTCTGATTGTGAGTGTAAGGCTAATGTTTGTCCTTCTCTGTTAACATTATATAACTTCAGGTTGTTGCACAGTGAGAAATGGTTCATGTTATAAACTTACATTATGAGTTTTAGAAAGTTGGTACCAGGTGTGTGTTTTTCCCCCAGTAGGGGGGCGTCAGGTATACTGGTGTAGGACCTTCAGTACATATCGAGCTCAGCACACCCACATCTGGCTATAGTTACCCCAAACATCTGCAATCAGATGGTTTTCAGTGGACCATCTACCTGCCAGTGTGTTAGCATAAATAAAGTGGGAGGATACGGCAAAACCTGAAATCATGAAAAAGTGACTGATTTGTTCCTGGACTCAGATTTGTACGTTTTTGGCAGAGAGCACTTCTTTGAAGCTGGTGCAGTGTTTTAATGGCCTGAAACAGTTTTGTCCCAGCTGTTATTATTCATCTGGTTAAGCTATAGCAAACTGTTCACATGTCTGTTCCATTTATTAATTTTTAATGTGAATCGGTGTATTTATAGTATTAGTGTTTATAATTTGTTGCCTTTCTTGTTCTTTAAGTTCTGCAGCGCTCTCTCTTTCCTCCCGTTTATTTCCTTTCCGCTCGCTGTCTGAGTTTGATGTCTGCAGAACGGTTGCCTGCTTCTCTAACTGCAAAACAAATCTACCTGAGGGGCTGAACCTGAAACAGCCTGGCTCTTCAGCAGGAATGTGTTACCATGGCAACCACCAAAATTGATTTGTAAAAAAAAAAAAAAAATCAAAACGTATCGACCGTATTTTAACCCGAATCACTGAAATACTGAGGCAAGCAGCTTCAAGTTACTCGACTTCCTGCTATCACTGAGACCCAGGAAGGCAGCTGTAGGTTTTCTCTAACAGCAAACACAGGAAACAGGCAGGAATATAACGCTGACGTGCAAATTTCATG